AAAAAAAAAAAAAAAGACTGATAATCTCAACTGGGTGCAGTGGCTCACGCCTATAATCCCAGTACTTTGGGAGGTCAAGGTGAAAGTATTGCCTGAGCCCAGGGGCTCCAGACCAGCCTGGGCAACTTGGTGAGACTCATCTCTACAATAAATCAAGAAAACTTAGCTGGGCATGATGGCGCATGCCTATAATTCCAGCCACTTGGAAGACTGAGGCAGAAGGATGCCTGAGCCCCGCAGGACGAGGCTGCAGTGGCTGTGAGTGTGCCACTGCACTCCAGCCTGGACAACAGAATGAGACTCCAGCTTAAAAAAAAAAAAGACTGCCAATCTCAGCACTAGCCTGAATCTTCTAAGGCCTTTTCGTTGTAGTGTGCCATAGTCAAGCAGACTGATCATCTTACTGAAAAAGGAGATACAATACTGTAACTCTTGAACAGCCCCAAACTGTCCTCTCTATTTGGTTCCAAAGACTTATTTAAAATCTAAACATTATGTGCTGAAAACCAAATGTTTTCAGCACATAAACATGTCAAAGACAACACAGCCCCCAAGTTTTAACGAAGATCAATGTTACTGGGTTCTAAAACACACCTCAGAAGATGATAAAGTAGTCAATTGCTATTAACAGAGCTAAGTCGTATCACCTTCCTTCTTTCCCTACTCCCACAACCCCAGGGTTCTTTAGAAACTTTACAATGTTTTGTATTTTTCTCTAATACCCACTACATTAGCAGTACTATAGGAATTTATTCTCAGAAACAATTTATAATGAAATCTACATTCTACTTCCTCAGCCTGACAGCTAGTTAACAAATTTACTTGCAATTTGTTCTTAATCATGTTGTTTCTCTATTTTATTTGCTTCTCTATGGTCCCCATTACCTAACTTTTTCTTTTAAGCCCATGATTAACAGATCAAAGACTCTATTGTAAATGCATCCCATTTGAAAAAAAAATGATGGATTTAAGAGGCAGAGATGATTATTTGCTTTACACATTAAATTCTTACTTTATAAAAAAAAATAAAAGATGTCTTTAAAGATTAAGTTGGGTTGTACTTAGATGATTCAACATACATACAACCTTTCAAGAATAATACTATATGTGACACAAAGTAATTGCTACAATGTCTTGAACTTAAAAAAAAAAAAAACAAACATACGGGAATATATATATATATATATATATATATATATATATTTTTTTTTTTTTTTTTTTTTGAGTTGGAGTTGTACTCTGTCGCCCAGGCTGGAGTGCAGTGGCACACTGACAGTCATTGCGGCCTCGACCTACTGGGCTCAGGTAATCCTTCCACCTCAGCCTTACAAGCAGCTGGAACTGGAGGCGCATACCACCATGCCCAGTTAATTTTTTGATTTATTGTAAAGACAAAGTCTCGCCAAGTAGCCCAGGCTGGTCTCAAACCTCTGGACTTAGGCAATCCTCTCGCCTTAGCCTCCCAAAGTGCGGGGATTACAGGCTTGAGCCACCGTGCCCGGTCTTATAATTCTCAAAATGTGTATACATAGTAGTCAGTTAAGACTTTTTTTTTTTTTTTTTTTTTTGAGTTGGAGTCTCACTCTGTCGCCCAGACTGGAGTGCAGTGGCCGTTCCCGGCCACCGCAGCCTCGACCTGCTGGGCTCCGGCGAGCCTTCCGTCTCAGCCTTCCAAGTAGCCGGAATTACAGGCATGTGCTACCATGCTCGGCTGATTTTTTGATTTATTGTAGAGATGAGGTCTCGCTGCCTAGGCGGGTCTCGAACCCGCGGGCTCAGGCAATCTACTCACCTTAGCCTCCCAAAGGCACGGGATTACAGGCTGAGCCACTGAATCCGGCTCAGTTAAGACTTTTTAAAGTTACTATATCTTGAGAACCTACTGTATACGCTTGGCTCTGTGCAAGGGCCTTCATATGTATCATCTCCTTTAATCTGTACACTGAGCTAAGTACTATTATCCTTTTTTAAAAACTGATGAGGACATGGCGGTTTATGGAGGTAAAGAGACCTGTTCAGAACTTTACTCTGACCAGGTGACCTAGCTGGGATCCAAACCAAGGTCTATTGGATTGTACAGCTCAGCTTTTAAAAGTATACCACATAATATAACAACAGAGCAGAAGTTCAAATGTCCCTATAGCCTCAAATGCCCAAGAAGGTCATTCAGTTCCTTACTGTCTTCTCTGCTCTGTCCCATCCTGATTACAGAACTCAGATTTAGAAATTATCCAATTCAACTTTCTTATTTTGCAAATGAGGAAACTGAAGTCAAGACACGCTAACTTGCCAGGGTCACAATGCTGGTTAATGCAGTCAGATCTGTAATGCAGTTCTCTGACTCTATCTACTATCCACAGTGTAAGGAATTTCCATCAAGCAAACAGTTAAAGCATTTTTTAACATGACTTTTTTCAGTTATAAAGTAATACATGTTGAAAGTGAAAAAAGATTACTTTAGAAAAGTACAAAAGACAGAGTAGAAGACCCCTCTTTCTTTCTACCCATTTCACTCTCTAGGAGTAACCTCATTAAACAGCTTCTTGTGTGCTGTACAAAATTCTTTTATACATTTACATGTACATATATGTAAAATAATTTAAATACAGAACTCCAAGATTGAATCTCTCATTCAGATTGATGTTTTTTTCCTCTATATAGTTTACAGAGTCATGTAATATTGCAACATGTTCTTAAGTTTGTAAAGCTATATGTATGTTATTCTTGTTGGGTACAGCTCACCTGTTTTCCAGATCCGGCATGCTTAGGTTTCTAGCAGCAAAGCACATTTTGAGAGGGATGACTTTCTTGTCCTTGGTGCTGTTCTGATGTTTCGGAGAACCAGAGTCCTCACTGCCACTAAAGCTTGGTGACTGGGGAGCTGCACCTTCCCATGGCAGATCTGATACTAATGATGGCTTCTTGATATATGGTGTTACTTCTCGAATGAACTTGACTAAGAATAAAAATCAAAGAAGAAGGTTAGTTTTTTGCTTCCTATCATAAATGACAACCAAAATAGTTATATATGTATATCTAGAACAAAGTGGAGGCCAAAAACAAAGTGAAAGAGCCATGAATCTCTTGGAGATTGATTCAGTACCTCCTGAGACAGTGCTATCTAACCTAGGTTACTCAACCTTTAGAAACTTCTTGGTTCTGTCTACTGAAGCCATATACAACAAACAATCTCTTCTCTACATAAGAACCCTTCAACTATCTGAAGCCAGTTATCTATCTTTTCCATACTAAATATTCTAGTTCAATTCAGTTCAACATTTATTAGCTACCTAACATATTATTGGCTACAAGTGTCAGGAACTAGGCTAGCCACTGAAAATATAAGGGCAAATGAAGCAGGGGAGACAGCTATATAAATAGGTCATTATAGTTTTTAAAAAACAAGCACAAAAATAAAGTATATTCAAGTTAATTTATTATCTGATAAGTGCAAACCAGACTCAGCTCTTCCCCTTGCTTGTTCAAAACACTCTATTTCCATTAATGTAGCCCCAGATTAGTAGAGCTTTTAGTGGATAGGAAGCTTTTGTTCTTTTTAAGTTCAATATTAACACTCATATAAAATACTTCCTCCTTTACCTCAGTCATGATTGCAACTACTGACATTAGAAACATGGAGTTCTTGTTTCAAAAACTAGATAAATAGGCCAGATATAGTAGTGCAAGACTGCAGTCCCAGTTATTTGGGAGGCTGAGGTGGGAGAATTGCTTGAGCCCAGGAGTTATGATAGTGCCTATGAATAGCCACTCCACTACAGGCTGGACAACAGTAGCAAGACCTAATCTTTCAAAAACAAGTAACAACAACAATAACAACAACAAAACTAGAAAAACTGAAGAGCACTATTTATTTATTTATTTTTGAGTCAGAGTCTGACTCTGTCACCCAGGCTGGAGTACAGTGGCACATTCACAGCTACTGCAGCCTTGATCTGCTAGGCTTAGGCAATCCTTGCACCTTAGCCTTCCAAGTAGCTGGAACCACAGGCATGTGCCACCACGTCTGGCTAATTTTTAAAAAAATTTATTGTAGAGTCGAGGGCTTGCAATGTTGCTCAGGCTGGTCTCGAATCCCTGAGTCAGACAGTCCTCTTGCCTCCACCTCCCAAAGTGCTGGAATTATAAGCATGAGCCACTGCATCCAGCAAGATTATTAAACCCAGGGGTTTGAGACCAGCCTGAGCAATTTGGCAAGATCTTGTCTCTATAACTTAAATAAATAAATAAATAAAAATTAGCCAAGTGTTGTAGCATGTGCCTGTGGTTCCAGCTACCTGGAAGGCTGAGGTGGAAAAATTGCCTGAGCCCAGCAGGTCAAGGCTGTGGTGGCCATGAGCATGCCACTGTATTCCAGCCTGGGCAACAGTGAGACCTTGGAGGCAATCACTGAGAGAGATACCTGATATGCTAAGCACATATAAAAAGAAACACACACGTGTGTGTGTTATGATACACACATATTTCACACAATGGTATGATATTTGCTTACTGTGCTGTACCTTGGGGTTTTTTTTCCTTAATATTGTTAATGATAGTATTTTATGAACCTAACAGTTGACAGTTCATTTTATAGCATGGCATGGTGATAGAGATACCTTTGGAATCAGACAGACCTGGTTCAAATTCTAGTTGTGCTTACTATTTCAAAGCTATGTGGTCTCATTTGACTGTTCTGAAGTCCTCATCTATAAAATAGAAGTAACACCAAGCAAGTAAAAATTTCAGACACATACTAAACATTCAATAAACAGTAGGTGCCTTTCTTTTTCCTTCCTAAATTAGAAGGTCAGAGAAGAGTTAAAATGTTTTAATAGTAATCAGTAGAAAAGTACAAGTTATTTTCTTATACATTAAACAAGATTTGCTGAAATTAAGCATAATACTAGAAAATAACTCTAATATTAGCATTTAGACATAGTTTATGTGTGTTTGTATATACATGTGTGTGATTTCTATGCATAGTTATCATAACGTGTATTGCTGGGTGGAGAGAGAAAAAGCTAGCTGCCTCAGGTCACCAAGGAGATTTTTACCCTGGAAAAATTAGCAGAGATGTAGCCAGTATATCCCTTGAGCAACTGGCTCAGGCATTTCAATACGTACTTTAACTTTGTGCTTTCAAGAAGTTTGGCAGAAATTCCCAAGGTTTCCAGTTATTGCTAGTAGCAGAAACATGCTTTTTGAACATTTAAGATAGTAAACTAATGATTGTGCTACCAACTGGGGCAAATTAAAGAAACTCTAAATGACTACCCTTGAATATTATAGTAGTTAAAAGAGAACCCTTAATTATCTGTTTAGAAGTTAATTCAATCTCACAGTAGCACCACTGAACTGATTACTGCATATATCTACTAAAACAAAAACAGTCCTATATATATAATTTATAGACTACCTTATTAAAAAGAACAAGCAGTTTTACCTAGGTTGAGGGTAATGCAGCCCGTAACCTCCATTTAATTAGCCAATTATAATGACTGAAGAACTCTGAATAGACATCTGTTTCTAGTCTACCTGAAGTTTGGGAAAGGTAGAAAGTTAACAGTCTTCTGTTTTAGTCTTATATTAATATTGAGGCTTTCATCTGGACACCTGGCTTGATAAGCAGAGACTTGACACTCCTACATGGTTTTCATTTCAACTCAGAACCCATAATATATTTCAGAATTATTTTTTCTTAGAGTTGAAGATAATTCTCAAAATATTTAATCAAACACTGGTGTTTATGAACTGTTTTAAGTGTTTACATGTCAAAGCTAATTGTTTCCCTTTCATTCATGTATCACTCTTACTGAAGGTGAAGGGGGTTTTTTCTCCTACCCTAAAAGCATCACTGCAACCCCTTCTCCTCTTTAGGAGGAGAAGTACCATACATATACGTAAAGATGTCTGGAAGGATTTTCATCAAAATATTAATAGTGCTTATATATAGGTGTAGAACTGCAGTTTTTCTTTCTAAATTCTATATATCTGAATTTTTAAAGAAATTTTTAAAAATTTTAATAAGTTTATAGCTTTATTTTAAAAAATTAAGAAATGAAGAAAACTTATCCTGAAACCTTGCTCAATTTTTATTTTTATTTTATTTTTTGAGATAGGGTCCACTCTAACATTCAGGCTGGAGTGCAGCGGCACACTATAACCTTAAACTCCTTGGCTCAAGTAATCCTCTTGCCTCAGGCTCCAGAGTAGTTAGGACAACAGGCATATACAACCACATCCAGCTAATTTCTTTATTTTTTGTAGAGACAAGAGTCTCGCTATGTTGCCCAGGCTGGTCTCAAACTCCTGGCCTTAAGTGATCCTTTCATCTTGGTCTCCATAAGCACTGAGATTACAGGTGTGAGCCACCATGCCTGATCTCTTGTTTAAATTTTAAATATGGAAGAAACGCAAACTAACATATTGTTGAGTCTTCAAAAGCTATAATGCACTGGATGGAATCCAAGACCCAACTGATTCTTACTAAATTCCAAGCTCTAATGAATAAGGTTACAAGGAGTTCTATGTTTGGCACATTAGGCATCCACGCATCCATCCATCCATCCATCCATTTATCCGGCATTCCTTCCACCCCAGTCTTCCAAGTAGTTGGAACTACAGGCGTGCACTACCATGCCCGGCTAATTTTTTGATGTATTGTAGAGAAGAGGCCTCACCAAGTTGGCCAGGCTGTCCTGAAACCCGTGGGCTCTGGCAATTCTCTCACCTCAGCCTCGCAAAGTGCTGGGATTACAGGCTTGAGCCACAGAGCCCGGCCTTTGGCCTGATTTTAAACTGAATGCTATTTCAGAGGACAGACATAGCCTACGGCTGGAAACACACATATTTGGATAAACTGATCACATTCCCTTATAAACATCAACCTGTCATATAATCAATATTTTTCTCTTTATTTTTTGTCTTTGTGGAAACTGCCAATATTTTTCTCTTTATCACTATTATGTTTTTTTAATCCCAGCTGGTGATTGCTACTATGAGTTTAAGTGAAACTATGCTGGTAACAAAATTATGAGGAAAATGGTGCCATTTTTCTCCCCACTGTTGCAAACAAGGTTGTTCCTAGAATATCCTAAGGGTGGGAGATCTGGCTTTGTATTCTGCACAGGAATGAGTTATGTTGACATCACTGTTAAAGTATTCTCCCAAGAAGTTTCTCTGCAACATCATCCTAAAGTCCTCACCCAAATCAGGAACCTGATAGACAGCCACCAAAAACATTAGGGAGGAATTGTTTTACTTTCAGTAAAAAGTTTTTTACATTCTCAACTTGCAGGTGTCTTATTTAGCTTAAGTCTCCTGGCCATTTTGGGATTTCAGTATACCGCAGTCTAGGGTCTGGTGGTGTAAACCTTGGGTATGTTCAGAGTGACTCTGCTTTCATTATCCCCCTTCATTTTAAAGTAACATAGCATATTCACTTATTGATTTTTTAGAGTGTACTTCTCTTTCTTTCTGTCTTTGTTTTGTTTTGTTTTGTTTTTGAGTCAGGATCTCACCCTGTTGCCACACAATCCTAGCTCAGCCTCAACCTCTTGGGCTCAAGTGATGCTTCCGCCTCAGTCTCCCGAGTAGCTGGGACTTCACGTACACCACCCTGCTCGGCTAACATTTTTTATTTTTTGTAGAGATGAGGTCTTGCTGCATTGCCTAGGCTGGTGTCAAACTCCTGGGCTCACATGATCCTCCTGCTTCAGCCCCCCAAAGTACTAGGATTACTGGTGTGAGCCACCGTGCCTGGCTCCTATCTTTCTTTCTTTCTTTTTTTTGGAGTGGATTTCTTGAGCCTGTGGGTTTGAGACCAGCCCAGACAACTTGGCGAGACCTTGTGTCTACAATACATCAAAAATTAGCCAGGTGTGGTAGTGTGTGCCTGTAGTTTTGAGTACTTGGTAAGGTTGAGGCAGAAGGATCACCGGAGCCCAGCAGGTCGAC